TTTAGGAGAGCAATTTTTTTATAATTCTCCTTCAACTTCTGCTACTGCTGTCTCTAACTTTTTCATCTTCTTAACATTTTAAAAAAACATGAAATAAAATAAAGAGGAACTATGTAGGAAAATAATATCGTGTTTTATTGTTTGAAAATGAAGATACTGGAAATAGATTGACACTTTGTCCAGGATGAAAACAAGTCATGTCCTAAAAACACATGAGTTTCGTAACATTCGAAAATTTTGTCAATAACAATCTAAATGATGTCACTATACAGCAATTTCCTGCAAACAAACCTTATCAACCATCAAAGCCGTGCAAAAACAAAATTTACGAGTCACAAGCAATTAGATTCGATTGATTAACAGAAGCCGTTTACAATTTTTTTCCCGGAAAAAAATCTGATAATGTGCATTTATGTAACTTAACTGATATCAACTCATTGTGAAATACAAAACACAGTCATGAACAAATTGGTCAAAAGTATTTATAACATTTGAAGTTATTTGCACTTGTGTTTGTGGTTGTTCAGATATCACGTAATGTTAAATGGGGGTTCCCCTTAGTTCCATTGCGTTCTATACAACTTTATTCCTAAAACTTGTTATTAGAGCCAATTTCTTGAGCTACTCTTGATACATCGATAATATGCAAGGAAGAGTAGCTCAAGAAGCCTTATCGGAAGGACCCTCTATCATTCAGAAATGCTTCACATTCACCTCCCATCAGCTGCATACCAAACTCATCCATCTCTCTAAACACAAAACGAAAAAAAAGAGTGCTTGTTCGCTGACATGATAACATTGAAAGGCAAAAGCACGTTGAAGGCACACAAAAAAATAAAGTTTCTTTGCCAAGTCCTCTTCACAATTAAATAGAAATTTATATGTACCAAATTACCTCATGCTGTGCTCGCAATAATTTACCAACTTCTTCCACCACCAACTTAAATATTCTCTCTTTGTGCTGTAGGAACAGTGTTATGAGAAGCGTAAAATGTAGAAGATAGAAAAAAAATTGTTATTTATTTCTGCCATCTTCTTTCATGTCTTCTCCTTTTATGTTTCCTTTTTGAGATCATGTTTGACTGTTTTTGGGGTTGTTTGGATGATAAGTAGCGTTAGGAAGCTTTGAGAAGGCTTTCGAAAGATGTTTAGTTGTGTAGCTATAAATATCTTGACTTGAATGTCACTGTATTGGATACCTGTGGACCAAGGAGGGGTTTTAAGGGTTTAATGCCTGATAACATGTCAGTAATCTCAATTTTACATCAGCTCCATCTCTCGACACCTCCTCCCGTCCATGAGCTGCTACATAACATCCTTATAATCCCCATTTCTTGTTAATAAAAGAAGCAGAAAAGGAGGTAAGGAACACATGGGTGAAATGTTTAGCGTGGAAAAAGAAGGAACAAAAAAAGATGAAAATTTTTTTCATTTCCCATTTGTCACATACGTCAGAAGTTCACCACCAAACATAATCGCGAGAATACATTGAGACAAACAAAAGTGGAAATGAAGCATCTATCTTGTTCTTAGGATTTTCGCACATGCTGTTGTTCCTCTTTTTTATGTTCGGCGTGTGACTTTCAAGAGTTTTTTAAAACTGTTGAAATATTTTTTTCATAATTTTTTTATGAATATCGGCGTGACTGTCTTTTGATTTTTGAGATTAGTTCTTAGAAAATGTAAATTTCATAAATTCAAACATGCCTAATCGACAGACGTATTGCAAAAGTCCATGACAAATATTTATTTCACACATTGCAACAAAATTCTTGATAACGACGCAAGGAAGCAAAGAAGCAGAAAAATATAAACAATTGCTGCTTATTGTATAGTCAAAATACTGATTAAGTGGTGAGCTGCATACATGCAAGCATTTTGTATGAACTATTCTCGAACAAGTGGAGTTTTGTATAAAAGGAGGAATATTTTTTACTGAATTAAACATTTACTGTTGGACATCTCAAGAGTGAAATTCAGTATTTTTAAAAATATAATTTGAAATTGTGAGTAATTTTTGTGTGAAATTTGAGTTAGTGCTAAGTGGTCGTATACTGAATATTGATGCTTCTTGGGAAATTTAGGATCTAGAATTTTTGATAATTTTAATCAATTCCTACAAATAAAATAAATATAAAGTTTATTGCCAAAGAGGAAGGGGGCAGAGGAAGGGGGTTTGAGTCTAAAAATCTGACGTTTCTCTTTTAAGACATCATTCAGTAACCTTGAATAAGTAAATGTTTAAAACTGATGGAAAATAAGATTTTTAATGGATATCAAGCATAATAATCAAGACAGTCACGACTCCTAATAATTTTTTAAGGGCCCTAAACAATTTAGACCTGATAGTTTTTACGGAAGTGCAGAACAGTGCTAATCAAACTATGCTCCATAATCATACGGATATAAAGGCGTAGTCAGGGGGGTCCTTAGGTGCCCGGGCACCCCGCTTCACTTTTATTAATCGAATACAGAAGCTTTTATTGATTTTTACAATAAAACAATTATTGGGCACCCCCTCATGAAAAATTCTGGATACGCCTTTTACTAGAATACGAAACTATCCTTGAATTTCAAGTGAATTCATTTTTAATTACCAAAAACCAGAACAAATCAGATAGCCAACCTTAGTAATCCTGTTTGCATACATTTTATGATTCAAATTAAAAAAAAATTACTAACCTACCTCAACATATTGTTTCATTTTATTTAATAGCAACAAACATCTTCCAAAATGGATCAACCAGCAAAGGATAACCGTTCACAACAATTAGACCCAAACAATCCAAAACATCAAGGTGGCACTCAAGCATACACAGGTCCAACAGATAAAGCAACAATGGACAATAAAGCTACAGTCGCTAATCCAAACAATCCAAAGCATGAAAAGGGAAAGAATTAAGTTCTGACTCAAGCATTGAGGATTTGTATTAATCTTTGAGAAAATTTTGAATAAATTTTGAACATTTCCAAAAATAAATTAAATTTTTTATTGTATGCTTCACATTAGTGCTATTTAGAGTTCAACTTTAGATGCTTACAATAATTTTTTTTAAATAACTTGCATAAATGTGGTCACTCGTGTGCGTCATAGGCGGTAGACTATTAATCTTGTTCGTCACCAAGCGACTTTCCTCACGTTCCGCATCAAAAGAACTTCGCTTTATCAAAACGAATCATAACTTGCTTTTGGAAGCACGAATGAAATGTTTTGCAGGAAGAAAAAATATTTGTAACAAGCAAGCAGCAATTTTTTTTCCATTCTAATCATTTTAGGTATACTACATATAACTGGGGGGTCCTCAATTAATATAGATTCGACTTGAACATAATTGTTTTTCAGATAATTTTTTTTGAAGGGTCCGCACCCTTTTAAACCTCTTGGATTCACTTAATTCTTACAATTAATTCACCATCAAACATAATCGCGAGGAACGATAGTGAAATGTAAACAAAAGCTTAAATGACTCAGCACTCTTGTTTTTAATATTTCCTCGCACATGCTGTTGTTACTCTTCTTTTTATCTACACGATGTTTTTTTGTCAATTATTTCAAGGTTGAATTAGAAATTCGTAGAAATTTTGTTAACCTTCGTAACATTTCGTACTTTTCTTTCACATTTATGCACCAAAAAGTAAACAAAGTTGCAAGACACAATGCAAAAAATGCTAAACATAATTTAATGCATCTTGATCGCTGTTATTTTGATTCTTGCAAAAAAAGTAAACGGAAATATTTTGGCTCTGTTCATAAATGATGTCCTATTTTTAAAGCAAAAGTTTAAAGTTCATTACAATTGAAGAGAAATTATTTCTATGAAAATTTTTAAAAAATGGGGAGCAGAAGGGGGTCTAAATGTCCCATTTTATAATATACGTCATTTATGATCAACCCGTTATTATTGTTTAGTCTTGATGCAGCTCGAAAAAATTACCAACCGAATACACGAATTACATACGAAAAAGTAAATTTTGTGGAGATTGTTCTAGAACATTTGAATTTTGTATAAGAGAAGGAAAAATTTTTCCGGTTCTTCACTAACTGCCTGTCGTCTAAAGAGTGAACATTTTATCTAAAGAGAATTTAATTAAAATAGTGTCAAAAATAATTGTGAGTATTAAAGTTGGTGAAATGTGTGAGATAGTTCTTACTAGGAACAAATGAGGTCCAACTATTAAAGGATATGGGATCAGGGGGTCTTTTGGATATGAAAGGAATAAACTGTTCACGTTACAATTAAGACGCACATAAAAACGCATTATGTTGAGAATGTTCTAGAACAATTTATGCTTTGCTTTGGATAAAAAAGATATTTTTTCCAGCTCAATTGTTAATGATTTCAGGATGGTATAAATAGCGTCTAGGTTTAAGCCGGCTTCTAAAGTTTTTTAAAGTCAATGCGTCACTAAAACACGAGTTGAAGCGTTAAAACTTCTCTTCTTTTTTCTGTATGACGCCAACCTTCTATTAAATTCTAATTGAAAAAATAGAGTCATTAGTAAAACACTTTTTTTATTCAGCTATTTGACTATTCCACTGTTACAGTTACAATTACTCACTTCAACTTACATACATCATTTTTTTTAATTTATTTTATTTTTCTTTTTACAGCAAAATTTTAAAAAAAAATGGATAAACCAGCAAAAGATGCTCATACAGAGGAAGCAAATCCCAAAAATGACAAAAAACATGGTAAAGGACATACAGGCTCAAAAGATAAACCAGCAGCAGACGAGAAATCTGGTGGAGGAAAACCAAAAAGCCCGAAGGGTGATAAAGGACATAAAAAGAAGTAATTTTTAATAATTTAATTTTAAGTTAAGGTTTAAAATAAAATAAAAAATGATACTACAAAAAATATCATTTTCAATAAAAGTTTCAAATTAAATCAGAAAAAAATGTAAATTTAATTAATTTTTATAATTTAGTTTTAAAAATGTGTATTTATATAATTTTGTATTATATGACTTTAATAAATAAAAAATAGTTGATGGTCGTATTAGTCGACTTTTAAATTCTCCAGATTTTCGCATAAATCCTCCGATTCTGCATCAGTTTTTGCATCAGTTTCTGCATCCTTATTTGCATCAGTTTCTGCATCAGTTTTTGCATCAGTTTCTGCGTCAGTTTCTGCATCAGTTTTTGCATCAATAATTCGACTTATTTCATTTGGAAGAGAGTCAAATTTTAGTCTGCATTGCCCGAATTCTGAGTAACCAACTTCATCTACACCTCCTTCAATTGATCTCTCAAACCAATTGACACATTCGTCTATTGTTGGCGTTGCATTGCATGACTGGTATCTTAAAGAGCCCTTCTCAGCTTCAATCATTTGGGTACTGAACCAGATTGGTTTGAATGGTGTTTTATGCTTTTTGAAAAACTTGATATTAGTTTTAATTGTCCCTTTTAGTGACTTTAGACATCTGATTAATTCATTTTGGAAATCATAAGCCGATAGTTCGGACAAAAATTTTTCATATTCATTAAAATTCTCATCACTAATTAATTCATATTGAAAATTTAAAATCTTCTTTAACAAAACAATGAATTTCAATAAACGTCTTGCTTTTGTGTTGATCTCAGTTTCTTTCTTAGTTTTGCTCTTTTTCCCAACTATATCAAGCAATTTCTCATAATAATTAATGCTGAATAAATGTTTTAAAGGTACAATGAATCCTTCGAGTTTGTATTCCTGATTTGGAATCCAAATTCTTTTTGCACATTCTTCAGCACTAAGGGTTTTGGGATCAAAATAACCGACTATTGGAAGCGCGCTGCGCATTTTTGGCTCTATAGTTTCTATAAATGCTGATAAGTCAGATTTACTGATGGTCCTTTTCATTTTGTTCTTTTTTCCAACATAAGACAAACCATTGTTTATGTAAATATTTTTCAGGACATTAAATATATCATGAATAGGGTCTGTTCTATATGCAAGATCAAGTTTGGTAAAATTCATCTTTTTATGAGTTCCACTATCATCACGTACACATCCAAGGAATATTTTAGTCTCATCATTTCTAATGAAATTCTTGTTGACATATTCATAGACTTGCTTATATAACTTTTCCATATCATCGGTTTTTAATGCAACTTCATTAAAATTATAATAAATTTTATAGACTTTCATTTCATCAACGGATATAAATTGAACTAAATTCACAGTAATAGCATATGATGAGTAGTTTTGATTTTCATTCATTTGATTTTGTAAATTCAAATTTGGTCGACAAACAAACTCATTTTCAATGAAAAAGTAAAATGTTTTTGTTTTTTTGGTGTCCATAATTCAAAATTAAATAAGTTTTTGATATCTAATTAGGAATCACTTGAGATTGCGAACTTATTAACTTTATCAAATAATTTCACAATAAACTGTAACTGCTTAATTTTGTGTCTTCCTTTAAGTAATGTTCGCTCACTTTTGATTCGAAACTATAATTTTCACTTATTTATATACATGCGATAGAGAAGAAAATGATGAGGTCATAATTAATGCTGTATTGGCAACACATTTTAAACAAATACGATTCAAGCTGTACAAAAAAATCAGACGTCAAAAGCTCATCACAACATTGAGTTTTTAAAAATTCTTTTGAAATAAAATATTTTTGTCTCTTTCTCATGCTACGCGTTCACCATTATCTCATTTAAAGTCTAACGTCACCAACATGCTTTCCCATCTTTTCTCATTTTTCTCAGCTCTTCTTTTGTTACTAACAACTTATCAGCTTGCATTTGTAGATGAAAAATAATGGTTTTGGTGTGCTACCGTCATCACGTAATCATAATTCATCATCCTTTAGCATCTTGTAGAACATTTTATGTAAGGATTTATTTTCCTCTCTTTTTGATTTCTTTAGTTTCTTTTTTCTTATCCTTGTCTTGTATGCTGATCATATTTTTACAGCAATTTTCATCCGATTCAAACATGCAGCTGTGAAATGCATGATAATGTGCCTTAGCGCAGTTTTCGGGATTAAATTATTTTTGGTTTGATTAGGTTTTTTACTCGTTTGATACTAAGCCAGTTTTTTCAGGAGGATCAACCTCATAATGACATTAATCTTGAGCTAGAAATCAAAAATTCGACTCCGAGTCAGCTCGACTGCATACAAAATTTTGTCGACTTCGAGCTCTGCCTTTTCCCATCAAAATCAAATGCAAATCTTTACAAAACCACTAGATCACCTAAAGTTAAGTGTCTAAGCACTATCGGCCTGTTTCACTAAAGTGGATTATCCTCGATTTCGGATTATCCACTTCAGTTTTTTGGGAATATCGCCAGACGCTTAAGGTTATTAAGAGAATTAATGTGTGATCTAGCAAGAGTACTTTGCTACTTAAATTAACATATACTTAGAATTTTTATATCTTCACTAGTTTGAGAATTATAGCAAAAATTGAAATTAATCTACTAGATTTGGCTAGAAAATTGAATAATTGATAGTTCTTAACGAAAAGTAAAAGTTTAAAGTGTACAGAAATTTCAGGCATACTTTACTCTTTTATAATCCAAAATTAGAAATACCACACCTCCCATAAAGTTTAAGATATTTCCAAAAAACTGAAGTAGATAATCCGAAATCGAGGATAATCCACTTTAGTGAAACATGCCGTATAAACTGCGCTACATCTATCCCACCCACATTCACATCCAATCTATGCTCCCTTAACTACTGTTTCTGTTACCAGAACCCATATTCATTTCTACACATGCCTTAAGTTTATATGATTATTCAAACGAAATGGTTTTGCAATATGGATTATGTAAGGAAAAAAATCTAGCAACATTGTAGCAATATCAGCATGCAAACATTCCTTTATAGATAATATTAAAAATATTTACGTGAATCGATGAAAGAAAAATGAGAAAGATATGCAGGAATTGCTATAAAAATTTCATAATCGTAATTTATTGAGTTTTTTTGATTCAGGAAGTTGGGATTTAAGATTAGGTAAAATGGTCTATTTGATAAGTGCGAACTTAACAAAAAAAAATTAAATTCCCATGAAAACACGACCTTTTGATGCAATTTTTGTGTCCCATTCAATGTTATTATTTTCAATTCCTATTTGGATTATGTTTGTATTTTAAATGACAGTGATTAAATTTCGGTAAGCAATTTAGAATATTGCATTTTCAGAGTCGAGAGTGGAAAAAATACCAAAAAATTGATTTTATAATTTACAAATTTTAAGCATTTAAACAAAAACTTTTCCCACATAGGCTGCCCACTCATCCCGCATAGCTACTCAAAAAATCAATTTAGTGATTTTATCAAATTATTGCAATGGAGCTGATACTTATTTCATAGGAACAATGTTGTGACAAAAAAGGTTTTTTTATGGACCAGACAAATTTGTATTTAATTGAATTCAAAAGCACAATACATTCACGAGTATGGACATGAGAGAGGAGAGAAAAACCATAATCATGTATGCATTACTATATTATCAATATTCTAAAAATAGCTTATTTTATTTTTTTTGCAATTTCCTGTTTGCTTTCGTGATTTAATTTTTAATGCAATAATTTTTTACTGCGTCATGGAATTCCATCGGATAGTTTACAATAATAAGATTGAAATGCAGTCGTATCAACGCTTGATTTAATGCAAGTAGCTATGAAATTTCCAGATGCGATTAATGTTGCTACGGTGACTCAACTCACGCTTAACAAAATAAGTATGCTCTCAAAAATCATGCAACCCACTGCCGAGCTTCTTTAAACAATTCAGCTTGTTTATTTTCATGCTTCCAGAAATGGTGCGGAACTGATATATTACATTTTGATCATTTTTGTACATATTTGATTATTTCATCAATTCCACATCTTTGATTACCAGTGACCAGCTTTAAAGTATTCCTAAAACATCCCAAAATCCACCAAAAAATTCAAAAACTATCACATCCAAAATTTCAATTCTCATCCAAACATAAAATAATGTCACTTCTTCTGTCTTTGTTTCCATCGCTTTCTATTCCTATTCTCGCTTATTATGGAAATAAAAAGAAACTCTAAGCAAGACAATATCAATTTGTGATGAATTTATAGTTCTTTGAATTCATATTTTCTATGTGTCACTTTTAGCGTTATTCTTCTTCATCTTCACTAGCTTCGATTCGTACTGTATTTTGTTGTTGTTGTTGCAAAAGTGATAAAAAAGAACAATAAAATATGCTACGATTTATGATTTGTTATATTCAAGTGACTTGTTTGTGACTCTTTTGATAACAATTTTGGCATCAGCGAGAGAAGAGCGAATAGAAAAAGTTGAATTTTCATTATGTTAAAGATACTTGGTATTGATATTGAAGGTTGCAGGGGCGACAGAAGAAGATTGTAAGAAAAAAACAGCACCTTCAGGTCCTTCTGGTTCGACCAATATCGCAGTATAAAGTCAATAAGTTTAAGTTGAGCTAGAGGAGGTCACAACCACATTTGATCTAGCTATACTCTTGGCAACTGTGCAGCCTAGCCTGCACTTCAGCAGATACTGCGTTGCGAACCTCATCATTAGATGAATGCCTTAACAACCCTGCCATTTATCATTACATAACATCCTCCACACAAAAAAGAACTTCATAAAACTCGCGATGGAAACGAATCCAATTTTCCTGCACTCTTTCGACTGATAAAATAATTTTTTTTTTGAAGAATCCACGTGAATGTTCGTACCTTATCTATAATAATATTTCCATGACACTTTAATATTCTTCATTTTCTTTTTTATTGAAATTGATTCAGATTTTTTTTCTCCATATTTCATTTTATTTCTATTTTTGGCATAAAATTTATGATTTTCTGATACCTGTCATGTTTACTTTTTATTACTGTGAGTGTATCTTGATTTAAGAGTGGAATTTGCTAGTTATTGAGATGATGGTTGAATAGCTGGAAGTTCATAACATTTTGTAGAATATAAGATGGCATAACTCATTACATGTCAACGCATGTAATCAATGGTTCAAGACTCAAAAAGTATGCGAAACGGGTTTGTCCAATTCAAATCCCCTTCTTCATACCAAAACCTGAAATGTCATTCAAAAATCCTCAAGCAAACCATTGAAACTTAAATATTGTCAATTGAACTCAGTGAAAAGCTACAAAAATCAGATAAACTCATAATATGTTGATCTAATCATCATCCATGCGTCCTTATCATCCGTTATAAAAAAAAAATGCAGCACAAGCACATTCTTCTCATTTCTCATCTAAAACTGCATCTCAGATTTTTTTTCATGCATTTCACAATTTTTTATTTGCAAACGTTAAGCAATTCATCGAACATTATCTTGATTGCAAAGGAAGATACATAATGTATACAGCAGCATGTCTTCAAGATTGTAAGAAAGTTGAGAAAAACATTTTTTGATTGATTCGAACGTGATTTGATTTTAATGTGACTTAAAATAAGGCAAGACAAATTTGTTGAAAGGAATAGAAAATTTTTTGTTTTTATGTAGCTGGTGCGTTGGTGGATTATTCGTGGCTGAATTTTAGATTTTTTTGCTAGCAATTCCATCAACATCAACACAACTCAATTACTGTTGACATTAATGCACTCCATATTCATCCAATAATCTTCAAAATCTCTCAAGATGATTCATCAATATTCTGCCTTAATGCAATTCAACTCCCCCAACACATCATCATAGCCATCAACATCAATGTCATTAAATTTAAGCTTTCCTAAGCACATTGTAGCTTTCACACGAATCCTTATTATCCTGGATCATCTTAACGCGACAATAATGCAGACGCCACAGATTTCAATTGGTCATACTTCAATGACTCAATATACACGAATTCTTATATTTTTAATGCATAAGATCCTGCTCTATACATAATATTATTATCATCAATCAATGACATAAGTGGAGCCATTAATGACTCAACAATTTTCATAGGATTCTCTACTTGTGGTTGCAAGAATAATGCTGCCGTTGTCCCTATAAATTCAATACTCTATGTTCCGCTTACCATATGAGATGTGGTGCTATGCAATCTAGTTAAAATAAGCATATTAAAAATTCATGAAATAAAGAGGAGAAAAAATTTCTTCTTTGCATTTCTTCATGATTGTTCTTCTTGCTGCTTCCTTTTTATAGAAAAGACTCAAGTGAATTCATGGATTTTATTCATAGTTGTCTGGTGAACATGAATTGTGACTTTAATGTGGGTAAATGATTTGCAAGTTTTAATATATTTTGAAGACGTTTTGGATTTTTGAGCATTTAAATATAAAGGCGTGCTCTTATTCAGCATGATTTTAGGTTGCAATTGACGAAATGTAGGTCCAAAAATATTAATGTCAACCAGCAAGAGAAGGCACCTAAGACTAGAGTTACCAATCATTGGTCTCATAAAGTCAGGAAAAAAGGACTAGAAAACTGACTTGGCAGGATCCTGAAATACCTCAAATTCTGTATCAAATTAAAATCATTCAATACAAGAAAATTGAACATTGATAGCTATCTTTAAAGCTTAATGAAGTGTAAAGCATTAACATCCATAATCCCACTCTATTCAATCCCACACATGATAATTTTTCAACTAAAAAGAAAAGCTTAAAATTTTAAGAATAAGAAATGTATACATACATAAAATAGCACCTTCTTTAGACAAGAATAAAGCACGAAAAGGTAACGAATAAGACAAGCAAGATAATGTTATTCATTCACAATGTAAACTTCTCACTTTACTGATTTTCTCCGTCATTTTCAACTTCTTATTCCAAAATAAAATCTATACCAGAATAATCCGTTTTACTTTCAAATCGCTATGAACATCAGGTGGCAATGAGCCATACTTGATAAATAAAGCATCGACAAGCACAAAAGCTAAAAAGCGTTATTACGAATGTGAATATTTTTGCAGATATAATATTGAAGATGGAATGAGAGGTGGAAAAAAAGACGATAGAATCTTTAATGCCACATACATTGATGGTTCCCTTTTTTTTCTACCCAAACAGCTGCCAGTCGATGAATTTCTAATGTGATTGAGAATTGTGGGTATTTTTATTGTCTTAACTCGTCTTTCACTTGATTTTATTACTATGAGAACATTTCGAAGATTTTTTTATGCAAGTCAATTCGGGAGAGAGGGAAAACAAGGAGTAGGTAGAAAGTTGGGAGATTGGTAGCTAAAGCGTATTTTTGCATGAAGCACTAGCATAAACTTGAGGAATTTATTGCAGTTAAGAAAGACTGTGGAATTTTATTATTTTCCAGATCATTAAGTAACTGTCATCATGTACCTTTACCAGCTTCGACAAGCCCTGCTGTTCCTCTGATGAGCTGAATTCTCCTCTAAAATTGACCTTGACATTTGAGGACATACCCAAACTGAACTTGTTACTTATTATTCTTCAAAATTCAAACCCCAAAAAAGCCAACAAACAAGAAAGGAAATGAAATAGAAAATGATTCTTGTTGAGGAGCAAAAGACAGAATGGAATGGAAGAAACCGAACATAAGTAGAAAAGAAAAGGATTTTATTTTGATTTACTGAAGTGTTTCAAGCATATGTATATATAGCTATTGCCTGCACAAGAAGCTTTACTCAATTCTTTCGATTTTGATGAAAATTTATTGCCATAAAATAGCGTGGGCGTTCAATAGAAATAAAATTTCTCCATTTTCGAGGACGGATTTTTGTGTATTACATAAATTTTGCATAAATCCATGAAAATGTCTTAGGAATATTTTTTTTTATCTTTATTATTCTTGCCTGCTTTATTTGCTTTTTTGTGTGTTTTTTTGTTGCGATTGGAATTGACGACACAACATGCATGCATGAACATTTTCATCATCTTCTTATATTCCGATTTCCTTTTATGAATGCATAAATTAATATGTAGATTGAAAGGGAAATATTTTGTCTGATATATTTTTGAGAATAAAAAAGGGAGAGAAATAAATCGATTTTGATTATAACAAGTCGATGATGCATATGCTTGGCATGGGATTGAAATCTTTCAATCAGATTCTTTACGGACTGGTGAATTTTGTTTTGAATTTTGTGGATATGTAATTTTAAAGTGATGAATAGCTTCAATGTGTATTGTCATGGTTACAAAAGGTCTGTCTGGTAACTATCTTGCGTCAGCTTCATATGATCTACTGGCTGTAGTTGAAGAAGCATTTATTAAAAAGTTATCCAACTTAATGCTAGAGACAGGAAACGAGCCCATTTGATGTTCATCAGTAGTCAAAATACTTACCAGCACTAGCTTTTTCAAAAATATTGTATGGCTCTGGTTCTTTTAGGTGAATACCAGTTTCTATAAAGACTAAGGCATTCAAAAGTAATATCCACAACCAAACAGTTGCATCTTTACTCCAGACTTCAATCATTGAACGCATTGAACATTAAAGCTGACTTTAAAAATTCTTCCGACTTCTTTTAATTTTCCATTCAATATTAACATTTAAATTTGCATGAATTTTCACCATCTTAGGTTCCATTACTCGAAGAACAAGAACGAATGAGTCCTCAAAGAGCTATTCTCTGTAATTTAATGCTGTCACAATGGAAGCAAATTTATTATCAATTTTATTACTGTTCACCACATGAAATGTTTGGTGGGGCAATAAAAAATGTGTAGATTTCGCTTGTTATGGCTTTTTTGGACAGTAACAAGAGATAAAAATAGAATGGGAGGTTTAAAGTTTTTTTTTTGAGAATATTTTAAAGTTTGTGGAGATGTTTGTTGCCTTGAGGGTGGTCATGGAGTTTTCATACTGAAAAAATTATTACAGCTGTCGCTTTAATACATTTGTCAAGGCTAAGACTAGAGTCAAAACTTCAACTAAGGTCCCAGGAACCATTTAAATCAATTTTTTGACAATTTTTCTGTCAAATAAAGAATTTTTCTTATTCAATAAATCTTCAATTTCCACTTCCACTCAAAATTTTCCAAGTCATGGATGAACAAAATTTGCAAGCATTATTTGAAAATGTCTACGATGCAGTCGACAACCTGAACATTGTTCACAGAACTGACTACGAACAAGCTCGTCAAAATATTCGAGATAAGAAGTACGATCATATGCTTATTGATGTAATATCCGATGATGAGAAGGCACAGTTGACTGAGCTCGAAAGAATTGGACGAATAAGACATAAAAATTATTGTGATGCGATTAAAAATGTCATAGATGTCATTCGACAAGTTTTTAATGCATTGAACAAAATTGATGAAAAGGAGATTGATAGGAAACGCTTGAATGAGCTTCAAGACATCCTTAATGAGATACCCGAATGTCCACCAGAGAGTCATTTCCTTAATATTACGGATATTGACAACGACTCATTGAGCAATGATGAAAGTATTATTTTATCAGAGATTGATGATGATGATGTGTACATGAATCAAGATCCAATTGACGAAAATGATGCAAGAAATGAAAGTCGAATGATAAAAATTATCGAAAAGTCTAAAGAAATGAAAAAACTTGAAGCTGCACTCGAGGAACATGAAGAAATGAAAAATCAAAGTAAAACTCAAATGTTTGCAGCAAAGGATCAGCAACTTGACATAACAGAACATCAGCAACATCAAAGGGATCTATTCAATAAAGTGAATGAATTGAAAATCAATTACAAAAGAGTAAAGGCAGAAGTCAAAGGAATGATTCAGGAAGTTTTTCCTTATTTGAATGATGATTCAATGGGAAAGGAACTAATGGAATTATATTATCGAGTTGAAAGGGATGATGCCATTGAGAAAAGTCAAGGTAATTGGCTTATTTTGTAATACTTTCAAGAGAAACATTCTGAATTACTTTTTTTTCTTTTTAAAGCTTCTAAAATGCAGTCGAAGATTCCACAAGCACCATCGAGAATTCCACAACAACCTAAGATTGCTATGCAACACCTTCAAGTACCTCAAGCATCTCAACCTCAATTTAAATCAAATATTCCACAAATGACCATTAATCGTCCTCAGACAGCATCAAGAATCCCTCAAATGCCAACAAGGCTCCCGCAAATGTCATCAAATGTACCTCAGACACCCACAAGAATTCCACAAACTTACACGAGGCATCCGGAGCAATCACATCGTTATCAGACACAAATTCATTCAGTTCAACAACCATCACAACTTCCAAGAACTCAGACGAGAATTCCTCAAGGTCCGATTTCGCAAATTCCAAGGCAAATGTCAGCAACAAAAATTCCAAGAACGACTTCACAACTTCAGATGGACGTTGAGCAGCATAAAAACAAATTAGGAATTTCATCAAATATCAAACAGCTTGGAAATTTACAAAATTTGAAGCAATCGGAAGCTGTTCCACGATCAATTCCACAAAGAGTCATTCAGGATAGGAATAAGCAGCTTGGAGCTAACTTGAAAGTCTCTGAATCAATTGGAAATATTAGGAAAGTGAGAGTTCGGCCAGTGAGTGAGCCTGCATGTAAGTTTTAAATACAGTAACTCCAAATTGAGCAATGCATTTATCTAATAATATTTCTTGACATCCACAGCCAAACTCTCAAAATCCAACATCCGTTCTAATGAAGTAAATCGTCTCCAACTCAGAAACTTGACAGCAGCACAACAAAAAAATATTAACAAGCAAAACCGTATCAAGACAGAGGATGCTGCAGCTCGAATGCTTCGCGATGCTGAGAAAGTTCTAAAAAAACTCACAAATACAAAGAAGTTCAGTACAGCACAAGAACGTGAACTGAAGGAGAAGGAAGATATTCAAATGCTTATCAGCAGTGCACTAAGATTGTTTATTAATGAGCTTGAAAATGTGAATTTGTCGCATGAGCATAAAATTAAAGTATTGGAGGAGAAGTTGAAAAAGTTCTTTGGTGAAGTTCGTAGGATTATGACTCAATATCGAGGAAGTGAGTAGTTGGAAAGAATTTTTTTTGAAGTGAATGCACTCGAGACTTGTTAAAACTTTATAGAAAATTCTTGAATATTCAGAATATTTTTAATCAGCTTATTTCCGTCGTCTTTTCAGAATTTTTCATGCCAGACGAGGAAGCAAACCAGAAATTCATCGACATTGTCCTTAATCACTTTAATGAAACGAAAAACTTTGAAAACTTTCGAGAAATTCTTGCTGAATTCTTTAAAAAGCTTCCACAACAAAAATTTCAAATTCTAAAGCAGCAAGTTCCGCAAGTCATTCAGCACAAACAAATGCAACACTCAACACCTTCAACTACCAGACGACCATCAAGTGCGAGACGATTTAATGATGTGTCACGTATTGCACCTTCGTCTAGAAGACCATCAAGTGATGCAGCAACAAAACAAACTAAAGCGAAAGTTCAAAATCAGGTTAGAAATTTAGAAGAGACAAGTCTTCAAAAGCCATCGACACAGACAGCAATTAAACAGAAACTTGATAAGTTTGTTGGGAGCTTTTGTAAAAGTAAGTTACAGATTATTTATTGATTTCGAGTTGTGAGAGGCAGTAGCGTTTGTTTGCATGGTAATAGCCACAGCGGGTTTTATCAAATACTTTAGCCACTTTAGCCACACTTTAGCAAGCCTTGAAACTGCTCATTTGGACTGATTAAATAATAAGTTTTATTAATCCTTGATTTTCCATCCAGTTTTTATCCTCAACCAGAAGAACCGTCGAAATAAATTCGATATTTGGGTCAAAACCTTTCGTGCCAACCTGAATCCAATCCTCAATGATCTCGAAGCCTTCTACAAAACCTTGCCGTACCCTGAGATTCAGAAATTTAACCGCGAACAAATTGAGATATCACTCGATCGCCTTCTTCAGCAAGTCTACGAACAAACTAAAAAGTATGAGCTGACAAACATAAGATGTAAAGACCTGATTGGAAATGAGATGAAAAAGTTAATGGAACAAAAGCATTTAAAGAATTTGAATGCATCACTTGGGGTATTTCTGCAAGGTATCAAAGAACTAATTGGATCATATATACAGCCATCAGAAGTTCAAGAGGAACTGCCATCAATCATTCAAAAACCACAGCAAACAGTTCAAAATCGTGGACAGCAATCAATGCTACAGAGACTTCATGAATCAAATATTCAAAGAGCACTTCATCGAACCTTAATGAATGAAACTGATGAAAGTGTCGAGTATCCATCATTTAATGAATCACTCCTACAACAAGTCTCTTTACCGGAGCTACAATCAATGTACAAGAAGATGTTGAAAGGAAAATATCAAATGCCAAATGTTCAAGGTACGGCACATCAAGCGATGATGCTCGAAAAAATTGAGCAACTTTTAAGACAGAAAGCTCAACTTGGAATGGCTAAGCAGCGAGATGAAAGCTTTCTTCGTGAACATGGCAGACTAAATAATTCGTTCCAATTTCCAATCCATGAAAGACTTGCTCCATCATCAATTAATACTTTCAATCGTATCATTGGTTCAAATGAGATTTTAGATTCTGTTGAGACTACCGATGAGATGCTTAAAGTGTTGGACATCGTTCTGGAATGCTGTGAGACTGTCGATGAAAATATTTGTAAAGGTAATTATTTGATTAGATGCTGGATAGTCTTTTGGAATGTGGCTAGTAGTTGTAGATGGAATTTTGTCGTCCAGTTTTAGATAATCCAAAGTTCCATAACTAAAATAATTCCATATGACAACAAGCACATACTAAATCCCATTTCCAATAAATTGATAATTCTAAGTACACAGCCACATAATAATTCCTTTATCTCTCTTTCTTTCTTTATATCCAGTCCTCATAAATCAGACTCGAAATGAAGCGTCTGCACTTGACAACTCATTGAACATTTTAGTTGCACACATAAAGAATCTCATCTACAATAACAACGTGATCGATTACGGGGATGAGCTTGCACGACTTGATAAGCTACATTATAAGGTAGATGTCAATGAACTAAAATCAAAATTGGGTCGAAAAGTTTTCACAAAGGCAGACTGTGAACATTTATTGGAAAATGCATTTTTGATGCGAGTCAATGAGTCTGACGTGGCTGTTTATGCTGTTATTGAATTTATTAAGAATTTAAGGTACATGGAATATAAATACATGCTGAAAATAATAAAAGGAGAAATTCGCGGTGATATCGACAAGATTCCAATTACTGCTGACACATCACGTGAAGATTTATTGTCCACAGCAGCAAGTGCAAGCTTACTCGATAAAATGAAATTCGTTCAACCGATTCGCGTTGTCAAAGACTATAATTACCCACATGACCTAATCGAAAGAGACATCCTGTATGTCGCATGTCAACTCACAAATCGTAATGAATTTGAGACAGCTAAAGATGATGCTGAAAATGTCGACGTCGACGACGACGATATTGATGACGATAGAAATGGACATATGGATTATCTTTCACGATTCATCATTCAAATTGCACAAAAATACCAAAAGAGTTCCATAAATGAACGAGATGCACTGCGAATAATTGGTCAAATATTCTATATGCTGCCATGCATACCAATCAATTTTTATCAGCGTTTCATTTATCATGCAGATAATGAATATTTTAGCTCAATAAGATTCAATAATCCGTCATTAAATACAGCAGCACGAATCGACACAATGGCAATGAAAAGTCGAACGATGTGTGCAGAAGATAAATTACTCTATGGACGTCAAGTTACTCTCATAACAAATCAAATTGAGCGATTTATGTTTGTGTTTGATAATGAAATTGAAGAAATTGCACGAAGCTTTCATATGTTGGATACGATGAAGGGAAATGGCATTAAAATTAGTGGAAATGAGTTGTCGAATAATGACAATGGGATTTTAGGAAATCCTAGGGCAATTGATACTAAAAATGCAGTGGATGGAAAAATTGATAATGTCCAAATCAGTATCGTAACAAGTCAGCCACCGATGACAAATATTGCGAATGAGGAGGTTTTAAAGAAATTTAATGAAATTGATGCAGTATTGGATAAGCAGCTAGGCGAAGTTGACCATTTTGATAACTCAAAAGTCGCAAAAATGGCATTAAAATTTGAGTTGCAGCCAAATGCCATTAAAAGAAAAAATTATTGGCAATGTCGTGGATCAGAAATTCCTAAATGGTTTCCAGGATTCTATTCAGTCTTTCCCAATACAAATTCTTCAAAACCAATCGCATATTCAATCGAACAAATTCTTCCTCATGCCTGGCGTATGATGGCACCGATAAATTATAAATGAACGATTCTGTTCTGATAAATAAAAATTCTCTCTCTTTTTTTTGTTCTGTGAATCTTTTTTTGTGTGTTTGTTTATTGCAAATTATTTATCTCTTATGATTGTGTTGTTGATATATGTTGTTCGGATATTCAGACAATTTTAATCCTTTTATATCGAGAATGTAGAATATTAATTAAAAAATTGTAGACAAAATCGGATGAGCTTAATGAGAAAATATCTCTGCACTTTTTGGTGAGAAAATTGTTGTTTATTCGAGAATTATTAATGTTTTGTGCTTCACTGCTAGATTGACGATTTTAAAAGTATTAATTTGTTAAAAAAAATTATAAAATGGTTCCGATGTTGACCCTCTCTGATAGCTACTCATGGCTGATTCAAGCAAACTTCGAGTTCTGCTCTTAACTCTGACCAATTGCTGCTTAAACTCTTCAATTTAATGAATCTTTAGAAAATGCTTATTTTGCAAATTCCTAGACTTGTTTTGACAACCTTGATTTCACTTCTTATCAGCAAATGCTCCAAAATGCTAATTATAAATCAACTCAGTCATACAAAATTTCATAATCCTTCCAAGAATATCAAAACTCAAAGCTTTAAAATTTTCATGTTTTTTCGGTGAATTCAAAAAAGAATCTGATAAACTTGAAGGTTTTCAGGTGAAAGCTGATAAAATACAGGTAATTAAAATTAATTCTTCCTCTTTTCATCCGATTCAATGAGGTAGAGATTGAATTGATATTTAATTAGCATCATAAAGCACATTTAATTAACTTTTTTTTTTGGTTGCATAAAACAGAATTAATTTTTTTATATGTTTTAAAATTGATTCTTGATAAAAACCAGTTGCTTACTATTTGCACCACTTGTGTTTTTTGCTGCTCTCTGAACAGAACAAATAACAAATAAAATCAATTTTCCAATAATTTTTTTTTTGTATAAATTTGCTGAACATTTTTCAACACACAAAAAAAAGTTGAGGATGTGAGGAGCAAAAAAAGATTCAGAAACCGCGTTTTTTTGTGGGAAATTCTGTCGTTAAGCAATATGGCAATGAAAAATAAATGAGAAAAAAAAAAGGTTGTAAATGTTAATTTTAAATCGATGAAAATTTATATCGTGGTTAATTCGAGAGTATGTTTTCATCCTCATCCTCATCATCATCAACAGAAATATTTTTGGATGTATGTCTTGTTTGCATGAAAAATGAAATTCAGGCTTTCTGGTAGGTTCGTTATTGCTATGAGCGTTTAAGGACGCAGTTTTATAAAGGCTGCAGTAGCTGAATATCAGGAGTATCAAACTAATGATTCGAAATTGCAAGTCAAGCCTATTTGGCAGTTCCTAAAGCTTCACAGCCTATAGGAAATATTTCAATATATCCAGACAATCAGTCAATAATGAAAATCCAAATTTACAAGCCCCAAAAAATCCAGTCTAAAAAGTATTTTCAGCATTCGGTTTGTATTGTCGATTAATTTCAACTTGAGCAATTTCAATTGAGGTTTAATTTTGTGGTTTTATTGGAAATGAGCTTGTACGAGATCTGAACGTGCTCATTTATTCATGAATTGATTTGTGCTGAACAGAGAACAGCTCTGTGTTCACATATATGAAGTAAGGAACTTTTGTATCATTCATGGTTCCTTTAACTGATGTAAATTAAGCTTATTTTGTGTAATTTGGGCTTCCTTCTTCTTGCCATATATGCTACATATTCATATTAAAGTCTCAACAATATGTGGTAAATTAATTATACAAGATTTTGATTTGAAATTTCCATTCTGTAGCACAAGCTTCAAATTACCTTGAGATTCAAATGATTTAATACAGACAATGGCTTTTGTACTTCTACGAAATTGAATTTTAACTTTCATTACGATAAGGTTCTCTTTGATGAATTTCTTAATTTTACTTTTGAAGGCTCACAAAAAGCAACCTCAGATTATAAAGCTCATTGGCTATGATGATGATTTTAGGGAATGTCTAGAAGGAAGATTGTTAAATATGTGAAATTTGATTGATGAAAAGGAAATTTCTTGATTTCCTTCCTTTTACTCAAGCATGAAATTAAGTTTATCTGAATTCATTTTATATCGAGCAATAAGATGTTTGCATTAAAGCTTTATTGGACGAGGATATTTTGTAAGCTTTATTGATCATTTTTAAGCATTAGAAAGGAAGATTTTAATTATTTTTCAAGTCTTGCTGGTTGCAAATTGTTAAATCTTTGTTCTTGGTCTATGTCAGGGATATATTCAATGGGAGTTACTGGAAGATCTCTGCCGGCTTTAGTCATGGCTCATGTGTCCTCAAATCACGTCTATTAAGTATGCTCCCTTAACAACCATCTCATTATACTGTCCCAAAACTCAAACATCACAGCATTAAAAACACAAATTAACCACTAAATGTCCATCACTAAAACTGTTGACTTAAACATAAAATTGAATTAAAACCACTGTCTAATTTTCACAATTTTACATGTGGTTGAGTCTGTAAAAGAACTGAGCATTTAAAAAAGTTTGTGCAACTAAACTGTTTAACTTGTTGTAGCCAAAAACATTAAATGAAAATCTTTCTACCCTTCCGTCATTAGCATCATTACAGTTTTTTTTTCTGCTAGTTCCTATTTCCTTCTCATCCTCTACAAAAACATAGTGGATAACAGAACTGGAAATGAAATTATTTTTTGTGTTTAGTTGTTAACTAGCTATTTGGGAGAACTCAAAATGATATTAATTTAGCTCTTTACATATAATTTCCATTAAAGTTGAATGAAGACATTTTGAGAAATTGCTTGTTATATGAAAAGAATGGACGATGAAAAAGTTTTGCGAACAAAAAAGCTGAGTATAGACAAACGAAAGTTTGCTGGAGACATCAAAAATTACTGTCAATTGGGAATTGTGTCTTTCTTTGTAAAATCGGTTAAAATGAAAGCTTTAATGGTTGGGGAAATTTTTGTTTTAAAACTGTGGATGTTGTTTGGAAGTTTGACATTATTGTGCCACTTTGTAGCTGCAAATTTAATATTAGGTCAGCAAAAAATATAAGAGCTTAGAGTTGCAAATCAATGTAATTGTGTCCCTTCCCCCATCTTATTGCAGCTGAACATATAAGTTTGTATCTAAAACAACTTAGTAATACTAAACTAGGGCTAAGGTAAACCTTAGGCACAGAAACCTTAAAATGCACCTCAACATCCTTAAATCCAAAAACCTTCATCAACTTCACCAACATGTCCTCACAGACCACTGTCACTTCCTTCAATTACAAAACTTTTATGAACCAGAAAAAAAAACAAACAGAAAATTTTTTGTTTCCAAAAAAGAACGCGACACAGCACATAAAAATGAACATTATTGCTTCTGGGATTTTTATCGTTCTCATGTAGCTCATAATGGTGGATCATTAAAAATTAAATCGAATTTTCATTGGCTACAATCATGATGACTAGTTAGATGTTGATTCATATGAATATAATTATGAAAAATTGACTTAAACAAGCATCAGAAAAAAGGTTAATTCATATCCTCATCCACAAAAGTTTATTTTTGCCTCCCTGAACTGAGATTAACTCTCTCAATTTCCTCTTCTTCATGTGAACTTAATGACCTGTATCTAAAAACTTTTAATTAAGTTCAAAAAAGGTCTTTTTTAGTTTTTTTGTCTTTTTTTTTCTCTCCTCACTTACTTCCTCGTTCATTATAACATGTTGAATATATGTGTATGAATAGAAAATTAATATTAAGGACGGCTATAAAATAAACAGAAGGACTTTGAAGCTATTGTGGGAGTTTTGTCAGACTTTACTGGAAGTTGGGGGTTTCAAATAGGACTTGGTCAGAAATAATTGAGGTTGCTGCCTAAAACCTGCTTGCTAATTTTGTAGTTCTGAGTAGAGCAGTGATTGGCAGACTGTTCAAAAAATCTACATAGCCAATTCTATTAGAATCAATAAAAGTTGGCATCATAAGGTTCCCAGTCTCATCCGTCGAAATTTTATCTGACTATTTCTCTATGGATAAGCAGGATCCCTCCATCTGCTTCATACACCACTCTGATAAACCTATAGCAGGGTAAATTTGAATGAATTCCATCAAAGGATTTTTAAAATGAATTTTTTATTATTCTTATGGAAACAGTAAGTAATAATAATAAAAATTATGTATGTATTACTTTTTTTTGCTCATATCTAAATGATAATGATGATGGAAGAATGAAATAGGCAAAAATATAAAAGACAATGTGTGTGTCTAGGAATAGCAAAAATCATATAAAAATTTCATAATTGTAGCCATTTTCCGAAATTAGAATAGGAATATATTGAATTGAACCTTTGTTTTAATAATAGAATTTAAGTTTTTCCAACATTTTAACATGCAAAAGTTTAAACTCAGCAGTGTAACAGAAAAATAGCATCAAAGTGGCATCAAAAATATTTGCTAGGGTACTGCTCAACCCGGTGACTCCTATTCATTCCCTCGAGTTTGAAAATAACGAATAAACTCTTCTACTATAGATTACAATCATTTCTATTGAATCAAAAATGCTGCCAACTCCAGACATTACTGATCATATCATCTATTCCTAAATAAACGAACAGAGCAAAAAACTTTTTAATAAAATTTAACAACTAAGCAGAAAAAAAAATATTAATGCGCAAATATTTCTATATAGTGTTTCTACGCCTCTACACGAGCCATGCCAAAGTCAATTGTGAAATAAGCATTGAATGTTATCAGCCATTCAAAATAAATACTCTCCATCAACAAGGGCGATTATTTTTCATCTAACAATGAAAATGGCAAAGCACAATCATGTCTACATCCCAACCCCCATCATGCCATCTATTATTCATAACACTTTTGTGTTGTGTCACAAAACGACACAGAGAGAGAGTAAAGAAGTTTCAGTTCCGTACATTTTTTAACATTCAAAATAACCATAAAATGAGAAATAGTCGAGCTAATGTATGAAAATGTTATGTTATAGTTTTTTTTTCATTCGTATACGATTAAAATGAAAA